CTGTACTGTAATAGTCAGGATGCAGTGGATCCAAATTGCAGTTTTCTAACTGAGAATGTCTTCTTGGTCTGGAGGCACAGAGTTCTGGAGTAAATAGCAGGTTCCCTTTTTTAGCAAACACCTCCTGTCCGCTGCTGGAACACATCCGTTGTATCTTCATCCACCATTTCCAACTGTGCAGGTGTGTCTGTATCATTGATTGGCTGCCCATCAAATTGGAATCTGATCTGCCTCATTGACAAACCCTGTCGTTCACAATAGGCTTTCATTAGTTTACTAAGTGTGTATGTCTCTTAATCTTAAACCACAGAACCATCCTACCCCACCACCTTCAAATTAATATGACCATTGTTCTCAGTCTTGACTCCTTCCTTGGGCTTTTTGTCAGTCATGGTGAGCACTGGAGTCTTCTCAGCTGCAGCTTCACAAAAGAGGTACCAGGTCCACACCAGATGAGCACACAAGCAGCACCAGGAGTGGCAGAAACTGACAGGCTTTAGAGATGGGAAAAGAAGGATTGAGAGAAGTCAAGGATGACTACCAGGTTGCTGTGGAACCTTTAGCAAGGCCCCTTCCTCTCTGGGCCTCTTCTATGAAATGGTTGGAACACCAGATCTTGAACATACTCCATGATTCTGATAAATATTTTGGGAAGAGCATGGGGGCTTGGATGCATCTAGTTCTAACCTGGGACTACACTGTCAGAAGTGGGGAGGGGAAACTCTGACCCAGAAGAGGGAACATCTTGCCTCAGGGCCAGAGCTGAGAGTGTAGGATCCTGAGTCAAGACCAAGACTATATTTTAGAGTTGGATGTGGCCTTAAAGACCTTCTAGAACAGTCCATTTTTTTTGTGCACGGGGAAGAGACAACTATGTGCAATATCTGCAGCCAGTCCCAGTGAGCAGGTGGTAAAGTGAAGGGGAGGAGAAAGCAGCAGGGGCAAAGGCCTGGAGTGGGCCAGGAAGAGGTCAGCCTGGCAAGAAGATCCCAGCCAGTCTGAGAGACAGATGGTCTGGGTACCCTTGCCTCAATCTGCTCTGCCTCACAACATGACTCCCTCGCCCTCTGTAGAGGGCCTCAGTGTTCCCATCTGCAAGCTTAGGCATCAGCGCAGAAGAAGTAACCTGCCTAAGTTCTCCAGATGGAATCCAGCCCCAAAGTAGACCTCTGAAGCCTCGCCTTCATCATACTCTTCCCTGATTCCTCTCTGTCTTCCTAATCAAATCCGTAGGCCCTCATCTTGGGAATTTGAGGCTGCGCTTCACCCACTCTGTCAGAGAGGGCCTCTGGCTTCAGGGGCACTATTAGGAGCCAAGTATGGGATTCTAATGTACTTAGCCAGGGTGCTCATGCCCTGGCCTGAGGCGTGGGAGGAGAGGATGTTCTTTGCCTAGAGTGACATCTTGTTGTTTCTTGTACCCTCACTCCTTGGTGTATGGTATGGCTTCAGGTCCTGCCCAATCTCGGCCTCCAAAACGAATGGACTGTTCTAGAAGGTCTTTAAGGCCACATCCAACTCCAAAGTATAGTCTTTGCTGAAGACCAGAAAATACAGGCCCCATTTGCTGGGACCCTAAACAGAAACCAGGAGGAGAAGGAGGAGTTGTGGGCCCAATGTACCCCAGGGCCTGTTCCCATGCTGAAGCTAATTGTCTTTGTGTCCTTCACAGCTCACCCCATTCCTCTGCAGCTGAGGGCCCTGCTCCTGGGCGTGAAGTCCCCAGAATGTCCTGGGGCCAGACCTTTAAAATGCCACTCACTGCTGTGAGCCAAAGATTGGCAAAATTTAACCAAAACTAGATTCAGGAATATTCCTCCTTTTTGGGTCATCAAAAGGGCCAGCACTGGCTCCCTCATTTGGGGGTGTGTAGGATGGTTAGGAAGGAATCCTATTATTCATCCAGTAAACATTTATTGAGCACCTACTGTATGCCTGATACTAAACTGGGTGGTAGAGATATAACAAGGAGACATGACAGACTGAGTCTTTGTTCTCCTGGAGCACAGAGTTTAAAAACAAGGTTTTTTGTGTGGTTTGTTTGTTCTTTTGTCCTTGACTGCAATTTTTTTTACTTTTATTTAAAATTTTCTTTTACTTTTTCAATTACATTTGACATACAATATTATATTAGTTTCAGGTGTATAACCCAGTGATTGGACATTATATAACTAAGTGATCACCCCGATAAATCTTTTTTTAAAGATTTTAAAATTGATTTTTAGAGAGGAAGGGAGAGGGAGAGAGAGAAACTTTAATGTGAGAGGGAAACATCGATCAGCTGTCTCCTTCATGCCCTCCACCAGGGATCAAAACCACAACTGGGCATGTGCCCTGAGCAGAATAAAACCAGCAACCTTTTGGTGCATGGGATGACACCCAACCAACCAACTGAGCCACACTGACCAGGGCAACTCCAATATATCTTGTATCCATCTGACACCATATATAGTTAATTACAATATTGTTGACTATATTTCTTATGCCCCCTCCCATCTTTCAAAAACCTAGTCCTCTACTCCCCCTTCTTCCCCCCGCCCCCCAACCACCAGGTTCTCTGTGTAAGACAAGTATTCTTTTTTTAAAAAAATATATTTTATTGGTTTTTTACAGAGAGGAAGGGAGAGAGAGAGTTAGAAACATCGATGAGAGAGAAACATCGATCAGTTGCCTCCTGCACATCCCCCACTGGGGAAGTGCCCGCAACCCAGGTACATGCCCTTGACCGGAATCGAACCTGGGACCTTTCAGTCCGCAGGCCGAGGCTCTATCCACTGAGCCAAACCGGTTTCGGCTAGACAAGTATTCTTAACTCTTTGTATACACGGATCTGTTTGATGGTCTGGTGAAGCTTATAGAACTTACTTCATAAAATACTATCTTTTAAATGCATAAAATAAAATACCTTTGGTTACAAAAGAAAGTGATTATATTGAAATATAGTTATTAAAATATGGCAAAAGCAAATATGTGCTATAGTAATATATGTGCTCCTCCTTAATTCACTAAATCATAAGATCCAATGGAGGGTCTAATGACAGTCATGATTTTAAAATAGAGATTGCATGATATTTCAAAAGATCTGCGACATTATTTTGAACTGCAACCACTATAATGTGATATGAAAAGCTCTGTGATTTCTGTTGGTGACAGTCACAAGTAATTGTGACTAATGTGGCTAGTTACATTCTTTGCTGAAAAAAAAAAAAGAGCTAAATTTCAACAAGAGGAGAGTGAAAAATAAAGATGTAATTTTTTCCCCCATACAAATTCATGGGCCACTCCAAACCCTGTCCCCAGACTCAATTGGAGGTCTGTGAACCCAAATTAAGAACCTTCCTGTCTCTCCTTCCTTCTTAAACAGCTATCGTTTGGAGGGCAGAAGCCTGGGTTTTATTTTGGGTCTTACTGCTGTGTACCATCATGCCAATCAGTTTGCCTCTCTGGGCCATAGTTCCCTCAGTCTGAAACAATGGAAAAGCAAGAATTGGGACAGGAGACCTTAACTATTAATGTTCTGGGCAATTACTTTATATTCTTTCATTTAATCCTCACAATGATAGTATCAGGTGAGATATTTATTTATTTTTAAAATAATTCTTTATTGTTGAAAGTATTACATATGTCCCCTTTTTGCCCCAATTGACGCCCTCCAACCAGCTCCCACCCCCCGCCCCAGGCCCTCAACGCCCCATTTTCTGTGTCCATGGGCCATGCATATATGCGTACAAGGTTCAGGTGAGATTTTTTTAAAATTTAAATTCTTTATTATTTAAGTATTACATATGTCTCCTTTTCCTCCCTTGACCTCTCCTGGCCACTCCCACCCCCAGCACATGCTCTCACCCTCCCACTGTCTGTGTCCATTGGTGATGCTCATATGCATGCATACAAGTCCTTTGGTTGATCTCTTACCTGCTCCGCCCCTGCCCCCCCCCCCCGCCCCCACCTTTCAGGCGAGATTTTTAAACCGTCTTCCCATTTCACAGATGAACTGAGGCTCCTAGTGAGGTTATCACTTGACCAATGTCTCAGTAAGTAGCAGGGGCTGGTGGGTAACTAGCCACACCCTCATAACCCCTTCCTCCTCCATGGATGAAATTAGGAGCTACACTCATTTTGAGCGATAGAAACCTAGCTCGGAAATCCCTGCAGTGAGGGTAGAGCTATAGGAAATTCCGGCCAGTGTCGTGTCTCTTAACCGGGCAGTGGTTTATACAAAAGGACTTACAGAGTAAGATGTCAAGAAGACAGGATCGCCAGGCTGGTGTGGCTCAGTGATTGAGCATCGACCTATGAACCAGGAGGTCACAGTTAGATTCCCAGTAGGGGGAGTGCAGGAGGCAGCTGATCAATGATTCTCTCTCATCATTGATGTTTCTATCTCCCTCTCCCTTCCTCTCTGAAATCAATAAAATATGTATTAAATATTAAAAAAAGAAGCCAGCCCTAGCTGGCTTGGCTCAGTGGATAGAGCGTCAGCCAGCGGACTGAAGGGCCCCAAGTTCGATTCCAGTCAAGGGCACATGCCTGGGATTGCGGCTCGGTCCCCAGTAGGGGGCGTGCAGGAGCAGCCGATCAATGATTCTCTCATCATTGCTGTTTCTATCTCTCTCTCCCTCTCTGTAATCAATAAAAATATATTTTTAAAAAAGAAGTCAGGAACTCTGATCATTGGGTGACTCGCGCCAGGCCCCACTTTGGGCTTAGAGTCTGAGAGTTTCCAGCTAGTCTGATAGACCCGCTAAAAGAGGATGATGAGTCCTCATCTTCATCCTCTTAAAGGGTGGGCTTGGCTAATCAGCCAATCAAAGACCCCCGAAGGGGCGGGGTTTTCTTCCTCCTGGATCCGGGCCTGGGGGGAAGGGGGTAAAAAAAAGTGTTTCCATCTCCAGCCAATCCCAGGGCCGACAGGAGGGCACTCCTCCAATGGGAGCCCGAGGCTGTAGGTAGCGGTGGAGCTAGCGATCCTGCTCGCGCTTCAGCCTGCGGGAGGGACACCTCCTGGGTATTCTCGAAATTCAGCTCTCGGTTCCTGGGATCTTGGAATCTGCTCACACGTGGCTTGTACGGCGGAGGTTGTCCGGTGAGAGGCTGTAACTACCGGGGTGGGAGGGGGCGTGGGGGAAAGAGGCCGGGCGGGAGCGCGTGAGGGGTGGGGCCTGGGTGAGCTTTTACCTGGGCGGCCTCTCAACCCTAGGTCAGCGGGTTGCGGAGGATCCCGCAGGTAGCAAAGGGCGGGCGAGGGCCCCTGCGACCCCAGACTGCGACTAGGTGAGTACCCTGCGTAGCCCACTGCCCGTGCCCGCCTTCCCGCCCCCTCCCCCCAATTCTCTTGGAAAACCGTTCTGTGCAGGTCTGCAGCTCACATGATCGTCTGCGTGCCGGTCTGTAAGTCTCCTCTCTTTCTGCCCCGCCTTTCCCTCTCGCAATCTGTCTCTATCTCCATCTTTCTGTCTGTCTCTATCTTTCTGTTTCTCTCCCTCTCTGAGACATACTAAACAACCCAGACCTAGAAGGCTGAATCCTGTTAAAACTAGCCATGAGACCTTGAGCCATCTACTTCATGGATGTGGGCCTCAGTTTTCCTCATCTGTCAAATGGAAGTCTAATCATCTCCACCTGAGACAATACTTGTGCATCCCTTTGCCCAATACCCAGCCCCTAGAAAATATTCAATAAATGACGGTCGTGATTGAGAAGAATATTCTCTCTCTTGGTCTTTGGCTTTGTTTACTCCCTGTCTGTCTCTGAGCCTACCCTCATTGGTTCTCTTTCTCTGTTATTGTGTTTCCTCTTTCTACCCGTCTCTTTTCCATCCTTAAATAGCTTAAAGGTGCATGGTTTATAGCAATGAGGTTGGCCTAAGAGCAACTGTGAACTTAGCCAAGGGCTCTACACTGTTCGGTGGGGGGGAAAAAAGGAGCCTGGACTTGGGCTGCTTCTGGCTTCATTGAAGAGAGATCCTCTTTGTTCCCCAGCCTCCTGTGTTAATCAGGTAGAGACCCCCAGGGTGAGGAGCAACTTAAATGAAAAAAGTGGATCAGGCCCTTTATGTTAGTCAACACAAGAAGACCAAGGGTCTCCTAGTTACATCCCCATACAGCCCTTCTGCCCCCACCCTGAAATCCTTTGACCAGGCCTTCTGGAACTCACCTTCAGTCATCAGCAAAATCCCCTCCATTCTCACCCTGGCTTCTGAATAGTCTTAGTTTTCTTTCCGTTCCTTAGAGGTTCTCATACCTGTTGGACCCAACACTCCATTTTTACAGTGTATATTTTGAAATGCCTCTTCATTATTCTGAAATGAAGTGCATAGATAATAGAATCTGTCTACACACATAATCCCCCCAAACCAATATAATATCCTAATTGTAATATAAATGAGAAGTAAAGGAAGAGCAATTTATAATAAAACAATATGTATTTTAATAAGTAAAGCCTGGGATGTAATTCTATTAGAAGTCATAATGAAATGGTCTTGCATATAATACTTAAACCTGGGAATATGACAGCTACATGTGTGTTGATTGGTGACTCAGAAACCGCAGGTAGGATGATGCAGTTTTCCTAGATGATGAGCAATTCTTTATAAAGTTCTAAACAAAACATAGTGCAGTCTTCCCTCAATTTATGTAGTTGTAGAATTTCTGGAACAGTCAGTATACTAGTATATTAGAATCTATGATGTGGCCTTCATAACCTCTCTGGGCTTATATCCTACCACTCTCCCCACTTGCTCTCTCTATGCCACCCATCCTTGCCTCCTTTACGCTACTTGAACATATTAGGCACACTTCCACCTCAGGGGTTTGTACTGGGCCATCACCTGTACCTAGAATGCTTTTCTTGCACACGACTCATGCCCTCACTTCCTTCAGGTCTCTATTCAGATGTCACTTTCTCAATGAGGCCTACCCTGACCATCCTTTTTATTTTATCTTTTATTTTTTTAAAATATGCTTTTTATTGATTTTAGGGAGAGAGAGATAGAAATATCAATGAGAGAAAAACATCGATCGGCTGACACCTGTATGCCCCATACTGGGGATCAAGCCTGCAACCCGGGCATGTGCTCTGACAGGGAATCGAACCGAGACGTCTTCATTCATGGGTCGACACTCAACCCCTGAGTCACATCGGCCGGGCCTGGCCATCCTTCTTAAAATTGCAGCTCTCCACTAGCACATACCCTGATCTATTTTTCTCATAGTGTTCCTCACCCTCTTACAGAATATAAAATTCACATTTTTATTATGTCTGACTCTCCCACTCAATTGTAAGCTCTAGAAGGGCAGACATTGCCTGACCGGTTTGGCTCAGTGGATAGAGCATCGGCCTGTGGACTGAAAGGTCCCAGGTTCGATTCCGGTCAAGGGCATGTACCTTGGTTGCGGGCACATCCCCAATAGGAAGTGTGCAGGAGGCAGCTGATCGATGTTTCTCTCTCATCAATATTTCTAACTCTCTATCTCTCTCCCTTCCTCTCTGTAAAAAATCAATAAAATATATTAAAAAAAATAGAAGGGCAGACATGTGTGTGTGTGTGTGTGTGTGTGTGTGTGCGCGCGCGTGCGCGTGCACGTGCCCTGATGCATCCCTATTACCTTAAACAGTGCCTGGCACATAGTAGGCTCCCTCAGTAAATGTTGAATGACTAAGTAAATGAATGAATAACCAGGCTTTTTACCTACATGGTTGTCTGGTGGGACATTCTAAAGTTGTATGGAATGTGGTTCAGTTCTTTGCTGTGTGGAGCTATCCTGTGCAGCTGAGCATCCCTGGTCCATGCCCACTAAATGTCACCAGTGATCTCCAACTATCGTGACAATAAAAAATGCCCCAAAACACCCCTTGATTATCCATCCCCCCCGCCACTGAGAACCACTGCTTGAATAGAAATCTGGCTTTCCCCTGAGCTCTTTGCTCCTCCAGCAGCTCCCGCATAGCCCTCTTACCAGGAGGTCAGGAGATGGGGGTAGGTGTCCTCACTCTAACTGCCCTTCCCAGACACTTTCTTTTCCTCCTCCTTAGACTACTTTTTAAATCCTCACCTGACAATATTTTTTTCCATTGATTTTTAGAGAGAGTGGAAGGGATGGTTTTATTATTGTTGAGTTGTAAGAATTCTTTTTTAAAAAATATGTTTTTATTGATTTCAGAGAGGAAGGGAAAGAGAGAGAGAAACATCAATGATTAGAGAGAACCACTGATCAGCTGCCTCCTACACTCCCCGCACTGGGGATAGAGCCCACAACCCCGGGCATGTGCCCTGACCGGGAATTGAACCGTGACCTCCTGGTTCATAGGTCGGTGCTCAACCACTGAGCCATTCCAGCCGGACAGGTTGTAAGAATTCTTTATGTATTTTAGATACAAGTCCCTTATCAGATATATAAAATGCAAATCTTTTCTCTTTGGGTTGACTTTTCACCTTCTTGATGGAGTTCTTTGATGCATAAAAATTTTAAATTTTGAAGTCAAGTTTATATATATTTTTTTCTTTCTTTTTAAATCCTTACCCGGGGAAATGATTAGAGAGAGGAAGGGAGAGAGCGAAACCTCGATGTTAGAAACATCAATCAGTTGCCTTCCCTACGCTCCCCAACTGGGGATCAAACCCGCAATGCCCTGACCAGGAATTGAACCGACAACCTTTTGGTGCACAGGACTATGCTCAACCAACTGAGCCACTCCAGCCAGGCCATATCTATTTTTCTTTTGTCACTTGACTTTTTCATGTCATATCTAAGGAACCAGTCAATAACACAAGGTTACAAAGATTTATTCCTGTGCTTTCTTCCAGGAGTTATATGATTTTTAGCTCTTGCATTTAGGTTGATGACCCATTTTGAGTTAATTTTTGTGTGTGGTGAGGTAGGGGTCCAAATTTTATTCTTCTGCATGTGAATATCTAGTTGTCCCAGTACCTTTTGTTGAAGAGTATTCTGTCCGCCCCCTTGAATTGTCTTGGCAACCTTGTGAAAAATCAATTGACCATAAATAATAAATTTAAAGTTTCATTTCTGGACTCTGAATTCTAATCTATTGATCTATGTCTGTCATTATGCCAGACTACACTGTGTTGATTACTATAGTTTCATGTAGTAAGTTTTGAAAACAGGAATTGGAATCTTCAACCTTTGTTCTTTTTCAAGATTGTTTTGGCTCTTCTAAGTTCCTTGCATTTCTATATGGATTTTAGGATCAGTTTGCCATGTTTCTGCAGAAAATCAACTAGAATTTTTATAGGGATTGTGTTGAATCTATATATCAATTAGGAATTATGACCATTTAACAATATTGTGTCTTCCTGTTTGTGAACATGAGAAGTCTTTCCATTTAGATTGTCTTTAATTTCTTTTGGAAGTGTTTTCAGTATATAAGTTTTTCACTTTTGTTAAATTTATGCCTAAGAATTTTATTTTTGCTGCTATTATAAATGGGATTATTTTCTTAATTTCACTTGCTGATTATTCATTGCTAGTGTGTAGAAATACAATTGATTTTTATTTATTGATCTTCTATTCTGCCACATTGCTGAACTTGTTTATTAGTTCAAATAGTTTTTTAGTAGATTCCTGAGGATTTACTGTATATTAGATCATGTGATCTACAAATATAGTTTTACATTTTCTTTCCAATCTGGATGCTTTAAAAAGTTTCATTGATTGATTTTATTTTTGTAATATATTTTTATTGATTTCAGAGAGGAAGGGAGAGGGAGAGAGAGATAGAAACATCAATGATGAGAATCATTGATTGGCTGCCTCCTGCATGCCCCCTCCTGGGGATCAAGCCCCTAACCAAGGTGTGTGCCCTTGACCAGAATCGAACCTGGGACCCTTCAATCCCCAGTTCAATCCCCAGGCCACTGAGCCAAACCGGCTAGGGCTATTTATTGATTAAGGGGGAGAGAGAAAGAGAGAGAGGGAAAGAGGGAGGGACAGAGGGAGAGGGAGAGAGAGAGAGAGAGAGAGAGAGAGAGAGAGAGATTGATTTGTTGTTCTACTTATTTATGCATTCATTGGTTGATTCTTGCATGTGCCCTGACTGGGGATTGAACCTGCAACCTTGGCCTATCTGGATGATGCTATAACTAACTGAGCTACCTGGCCAGAATGTGGATCTTTTTTGCTTTTTTTTTTTTTCTTGATTGATAGCCCTGGCTAGACTTCCTAGTACAGTGCTGACTGGAAGTAATGACTGCAAGTATCCTTATCTTGTTCCTGATCTTAGGGGTAAAGTATTGAGTCTTTCTCTATTAACACATTGCGTACCGCATAGAAATCTCTAAGACATACGCCAGGGACCGCACGTTTTCGGGCAAACTGCACGTTATTTAAATCATCATAATGCACTTTAGGTGTTGTTTTTCAATAATTATAACATTCTTATTTACAAAAACAATTAAACAATTAAAGTTCCTAGTACTTTTTAAACGTATGGTACTGCGTAAAACATTTTCCTCTATGAAGAGGGACCAAACAAAATTTACTTAAGTATCTAGATTCGCTCCTTTTTCCATGGGCGTGAAAAACGAGAACACTCGTGAGCGGTCCTTAACAGATGGCGCACGAAACACGAGAAAACTCCTGAGCGGTACGAAATGTGTTAAGTATGATGTTAGCTGTGGGTTTTACCTTTTACCAAGTTGAAGAAGTTCCCTTCTACTCCTAGTTCTCTGAATGCTTTTGCCATGAATGGGCTTTGTCAAATGCCTTTTCTGCATCTATTGAGATGATCGTGTGGAGTTTATGCTTTATTCTATTAATATGGTGTATTACATTGATTACTTTTCAGATGATAAGCTAACCTTGCATTTCTGAAATAGATCCTAATTCATCATGTTATATCGGCTCGCGTGAATTGCGCGTACTCCGCGGGAGCCGTCTTTAACTCGGTTCATATAGATTTGCGGTGGAGTGCGGGAAACGTGTAAACTCGGGCCGATTGTAACTGCGTATTACCAAATATTTGTTTGTAATCCACCCTTTTGGTGGATGGAACAAAACCAAAAGACAGAGCCATCTTATATTTTGGCGGGAAATTCACCCGCACTCCAAGTGATATAATACTTTTTCTATGTTGCTGGACTTGGTTTGCTAGTATTTTCCTGAGGATTTTTACACCTACTGTATATTCATAAGGGATATTGGTCTGTAGTTTTCTTGTGATGTCTTTGGTTTTGGTGTTAGTGTAATACTGGCTGCATAAAATTAATTGGGAAGTGTTTTCTGTTTTTTGGATGAGTTTGTGAAGGATTGATATTTGCTTTGCGTACGTCTTATGTCTTCGGTTCCGTTGTTCTTTAATTCCTCTCTTCTTTTGTGGTAAGTAGATATTTTCTACTTTAACTTTTTAATTTCCTTATCAAGTATATATTTTTTGAGTTAATTTCTTAGTGGTTACTCTGGGGATTACAATTAACATCTTAATTTGAAACATTCTACTTTGGATTAATTCTAACTTACTTTCAATAGTGTGTAAAAACCTTTGCTCCAGTATACCTGTTTCCTCTCCCCTCCTTTGTAGTATTATCATGAAAATTACTTCTTTATACATTACTAGAGGCCTGGTGCACGAAATTCATGCACTTGGGGAGGGTCCCTCAGCCCAGTCCTCTTGTAGTCCAGAGCCCTTGAGGAATGTCTGACTGATGGTTTAGGCCTGCTCTCCAGGGGAGTGGGCCTAAGCTGGCAGTTGGACATCCCTCTTGCAGTCCGGGACCCCTTGCCCCTTACCACTCACCTGCTCGCTGTTCCTTACCGCTGGGTCACTGCTCCTTAGTGCTGCCATCGAGGCAGGAGAGGCTCCCGCCACCACCACTGTGCTCATCAGCCGTGAGCCCGGCTTCTGGCTGAGTGGTGCTTCCCCTGTGGGAGTGCACTGACCACCAGGGGGAAGCTCCTGCGTTGAGCATCTGCCCTCTGGTGGTCAGTGCACTTCATATTGACCGGTCATTCCTCCATTCGGTCGATTTGCATATTAGCCTTTTTATTATATAGGATAAGCCCATCACCAAATTTTATTATTATTGCTTTATGCAATCTTTTATAACAGATAGGAAAATAAAGTGTTACAAAAATTATTTTTTTCATACCCATGTAGCTACCTTCAAGTTACCATCTAGTGTCCTCTAATTTCAGCCTGAAGCTAGCAACGAATTCTTTCAGTTTTGTTTATCTTAACTTCTCTTTCATCTTTGAAGGACAGTTTAGTTAGATGTGGAATTCTTCTTTGACAGTCTTTTTCTTTCAACATTTTGAAGATGCTGTGACACAGTCTTCTGTCCTCTGGTTTCTGATGAGAAATCAGCTACTAATGTTATTGAGAATCCCTTATACACAATAAGTCATTTTCCTGTTGCTGCATTTGAGATTTTCTTTTTGTCTTTGATTTTGACCAGTTTCACTACGTATCTAGGTATGGATCTCTTTGAGTTTATTCTACTTGAGGTTGTTGAATGTATAGATTAATATTTTACATCAAATTTGTGATGTTTTGGCCCCTTTGTCTTCCTCTTGTCCTTCTGAGATTTCTGTTATACTTATGTTAGTACACTGATGTAGTCTCACACGTCTGTGAGGCTTTGTTTCTTCATTCTTTTTTCTTTCTGCTTTTCATAATGGATAATCTCTATTTACCTATCATCAACTTCACCCTTCTCTTCTACCAGCTCTTATCTGTTGTTGAACCCCTCAAAATGTATTTTTCATTCCATTTGTAATACTTTTCACTCCAGATTTTCTATTTGATTCTTTTTTATGATTTTTATCTCTATTGACATCCTCTATTTTATAAGACATTGTTCTCATACTTTCCTTTAATTCTATAGATATGGGTTCCTTTAGTTCTTTGAAAATGTTTATAATAATTAATTTGAAGTCTTTGTCTATTAAGTCCCAAATATTAGCACCCTTGGGGACATGTTCTTTTGGCTGCTATTTTCCCCGTATATGTAACATAATTTACTGTTTCTTTGCATGTCTCACAGTTGTTGGGGTGTTGTTGTTTTTTTGTAAAAAACTGGTCATTTTAGATGCTCTAACAACTCTGGTATCAGACTCTTCCACCCTCAAAGTTTGTTGTTGTTCTGGGTTGTGCATGTGTTGGTTGTTGTTATTTTTCTTGTTGCCCTTTACTTGTGAATTCTGTATTCCCTGTATTACAGGGTGTGGCAAGAGCAGGTCACAGTTGTTCATATGGAAAATAATGTAATAATACACAAATAAACTTTTACGTACTTAAAATTCTAAACCTACTTTTGCCCCACCCTGTATGTGGACCCTGAGTTCTCTGCCAACTTTTTTTAAGTTCTTGTTTTCATTATTTATTTATTTTTAAATCTCACCTAAGGACATGTTTAGAGAAAGGAAGGGAGAGAGAGGAAAAAAAAACATTGATGTTCTAGAGAAACATTGATCGGTCGCCCCCCACATGGGATTGAACCCACAACCCAGGTATGTGCCTTGACTGGGAGTCTTTTCAGATTTTTAAATGAGAAATTTGAAAACTGCTTGAATAACATGTTTATTTTTATATTAGGTTTATGCTTGAAATGGATACACCCAAATTCTGATCAAGACTTTTTAATGATGTGTTCTTTCAAATTTTCAGTAGTCACAATCAAGAAAAATTTATGTACAAGTAGCTGATAAAGTATTTAAAACCAATTTTTAAAGTCTTCAAAAATGTTTAACAACTGAAATGGTATCTGACAGCTTTTCTTTTTGTTTTATTGAAGGATATATTGTTAAAATTTCTTGTGATAATGTGATTAGATTTCAAAACAATTGAACTCTTTCATATAAATTATTTCAAAATAATGATGAAGCTCTTATTTGCAGAACATCCGTCATTGTTAGCCCCGCAGCTAGCTTGGACACCATTAAAAGGGCTCATCAGCTTCAAATGAATAAAAGTATCTGATATTCATGAAGACAGAGTTTCAGGGCTTCTACCAGGAGCTACACTCTCTAGAAGCCCCTGCTTGGCCTTCCTGCACCCAACCCCACCCCAACTAGTCACAACTTGGCTGTGTATGGTGTTTCTTGGCAACTGGAACACAGACTCCTCCAGCAGCTCCACAGATCCCTTGTCCTCAGTGAGCAGAAGACTACAGAAACTGTCTACTGAAGAGGCTGTCCATGTGATTGAGCTCGGCTCTGCTTAACACACTTACCACAGAGCAGTAACTGAGTGCTGGATGTTACTCATTCGTGCTCACCTCCTGCAGGTACGGGAGAGGGATTTGTCAGACCACATTTCACTAAGGGTCACCCTCTAAGGATCTCCACAGGAGGCTGCCCATAGAGAGAGGCAGCCTACCTAGGGTCTCCACTGCCTTAGGTTCTACATGGACAGCATTAGGGCTGAGGGAATCAGTATCTCTTTACTTACCTATAATCTACATATCAACTAGAAAATTCTGCCTTCTGCTATTTGTTTGTTCATTTATTTATTTATTCATTCGTTCATTTATTTTTGGTAGAAAGAGTTTTAACTGCTGCTTCAATTCCTTTAATAGAGGACTATTCAGGATTTCTCTTTCTTCTTGAGTCAGTTTTGGTACGTTAAAGTTTTCTAGGAATTGGTCTATTTTGCCTGCATTCTCGAATTTATTGGCATCAACTTCCCTTATTTTTGATTCTCTGCTGTACATAATCTGTAGTTATGTCTCCTTTTTCATTGCTGTTATTGGTTATTTGTGCCTTCTCACTTTTTTTCATGATCAATCTCTCCAGAGGTTTGTCTATTTTATTAGTCTTTTCAAAGAACCAACTTTTGGCTTTGTTGCTTCTCTCTATTATGTCTTTGTTTTCTATTTCTTTAATTTCCGCTCTTATCTTTTTTGATCTCCTTCCTTCCACATTTTTTGGATTTATTCTGTTGTTCTTTTTCTAATTTCTTATATTGAATACTGAGCTCATTAATCTTCAGCCTTCCTTGTTTTTTTATTTGTGCATTTAAGGATATAAATTGCCCTCTAAATACTGCTTTTTTATAAGTTCAGACATGTCCTATTTCATTATTGTTCGATTCCGAGTACTTTAACATTTTCATCATGGTTACTTCTTAGACCTGTGAGTTATATAGAAGTGTGTTTTTAAATTTCTCAATGTTTGGTGATTTTTAATTTTATCTCTTTGTTATTGAAATCTATCTTAATTGTATTATGGTCAGAGGATGTTATCTGTGTGATAACAATTCTGAATTTTATTGAGACTTGATTATGGCTTAGTACGTGATCAATATTTTTTAATGTTTCCTGTGTGCTTTATAAGAATGTATGTTCTCTAATTGTTGATTACAGAGTTCTACATATGTCTATTATCAAGCTTGTTGGTTGTATTGTTCAAATTTTCTATATCTATACTGATTTTTTGGTGTCACTATATAGCAGTAATTGTAAGAGGTGTATTAATATTCAACTATGATGGTGGATTTGTCTATTTCTCCTTGTAGTTCTTTTTAAAAATTTTATATATTTTGAGAATATTTTATTAGGACTATTCAAAATAAGAATTGTTATATATTCCTGATAAATATGTAATGACCCTCTCTATTCTTGATAATGCATTTTTCCTTGAAGTCTATTTTACCTTATATTGATATAACAACACAAGCTTTTCTTCTTGTTAGGATTTATGTGGCATATAATTTTCCAACCTTTTACTTTACAACATTTTCATGCTCTTATGCTTCAATTATACCTCTTGGGAATGGCATATAGCTGGACCTTTTTTTTAAAAAGGTAATCTGGTGATCTCTGTTTTTTACGGGCAAGTTTAATCTGTTTACATTTACTGTGATATATTTGGGCTTGTTTCTACCATTATACTTTTTTATTTCTATTTCCTACCAACATCTTTTCTATGCTTCATTTTCTTTCTTTCTTTCTTTCTTTCTTTCTTTCTTTCTTTCTTTCTTTCTTTCTTTCGCTTGCTTTTTCAGCTTTAAGATTTGTAGTGTTTGCTTTCTTATTCAATATTTTCCTCCCTACTGTTTGGAATTAACATTTTTTCTATTCTTTTTGTGGTTATCCTTGACATTTTACCACACATGTTTAATTTATAAGGTCTAAAGTTAAACAGTATTTTAACCTCCATCTTCAAGAACACAGGAACCTTCAACTGTAGGCATTTCTTTCTTGACCACATGCTATTGTGAGTTTGTTCCTTTTTTCTAACCTCATAAAATCTACATTATCATTAGTATAATTTTATATGCATAGTGTTTGGATTTTCATGCATACATTCTTGCATCTCAGACCATCATTCTGGGATCATTTTCTTTCATTATGAATACAGTGTTTAGATGCTCTTTTAGTACAGGTCTCTTAGTGTTAAATTGTCCCAGTCTTTGTTATATGTAAATGTAATTTTATCCTCATCTTAAATGACAGTGCTATAGATATTTAGAAGTCTGCTACCAGTCTAATTACTGTTTTTGTAGGTGTTTTTGTTTTCTTTTATTCTGGCTACCTTTAAGATCTCTCTCTCTCTCTCTCTCTCTCTCTCTCTCTCTCTCTCTGAGGGAGATGTACAGGGGGCTCTTCAGTGTCATTCTAAAATGTTTAGCCATGTATTTCTTTTTCATTTATTCTACTTTAGAAATGCACTTGCTTTGTGCCTCTGGATTTTTTTTTCATAATTTCTAGAAAATTCTTAGCCATTATGTCTTCAAATGTTGCCCTCTCCCATTATTTATATATTTTCTTTCTCAGAATACAGTTAGTCATATTTTTTACCTCTTCATTATATCTTCCATATCTCAACATCTTTTTTATGTTTTCTGTCTCCTTGTCTTCCTGCACTTCATTCTGGGCAATTTCTCCAGATTTTTACCAATTAACTCTTCAGCTATGTCTGATCTGTTGTTTCATCTGTCCACTGAGTTTTTTTGTTTCAACAGTTGCATTTTTCATTTGTATAAGCTCCATATATTTCACTTTCTAATTCAACCCTAATAATCTCTTGTTGCTTGCTCATCTTTGTGGTTGCATCTCCTGTTTCTTTAAAGATTTTATACAATTTTTGTTCAACCAATGATCACTGTTTACATAAGTATGACATTGTAAATATTGTTCATATCTAAACCACAGAGTATACTCTGATTATATATCCTTTGTTGTATACCTTTTTGTTTTCTTAGTAGTTGTCTGTTTTTTTCTTTGCCTAGTGTTATAATACCTATTACTAATTCTTATCTGAAATTCTTTTAAAAAATCCCTACCAGATGATGTCCCTCCTCTGCTCAAAACTCTCCCATGGCTCCCAGCTCCTCAGAATAAAAGCCATAGCCCTCACCATGTCCCAAAAGTCTCTACACATTCTGGACCTCAACCCCTCTCTGACTTCATTTCCTGTCATTCTCTCCATCACTCACTCTTCTCCAGCCACACTGGCCTACTTGCTGTTACTCAAACTGACAAGTACCCGCCCACTTCATTGGCTTTGTACTTGTTCTCACTGCCTGGAACACTCTTCTACCCAGATAATCTGATGACTTGCCCACCCACATCCAGTATTCTCATATGTCACCTCCTTAGAGAAGCATTCCCTGACCAGCATATCTAAATTGGTCTCATTCACCAGCACGGTCTATCCCCTTATCTTACTTTTTTTTTTGTCTTATGTTTTTCTACAAAACACCGATCACCACCTGAAATATTTCATATTTATTTATTGTGTTTAGTGTCTGTCTCTCCCCAATAGACTGTAAGCTCCACAAAGCAGGGCCTTTTGTTTTGTTCACTGTTGTATCCCCAGTGCCAAGAACAGTGCATAGTAATATTTAGTAGATGCTCAATAAATATTTTTGGAATAAACCCATTCAAAGACATACCTATATGGCAGGGCTTGGGGAGGGATGGGAATGTGGATAATACGGAATAAACAAGAAAGGCTGAAAGAAAAAATAAAGTGTATATTCCCTTGTCTTAGGTCACCCACTCCATGACATTCATCCTTTAGTATCTGCTCTTCGCTAAGGAGAAAACACCACCACCTGTCGTCTGTTAACCCGAGGACAGAATGCCCAGGTGAGCCTGACTCACAGTACCTGTATGTAGCTAACCTTGACCACGTGCTGCCAAAGCTCCTGCAAGCCCTCCCTCCAAGCACAGCAGCAGCCCAGCTCCGGAGCGGACAGGCATTTCACCCCACAGAAGTGATCTGCTGTCACCTACTCTTGGGGGGCAAAGGGGATTATGGGGAGATTAGAAGAAGATAGATGGGCCTACTCCGTCAACCCATATTGTTATCAGACAACTCATCTGGAACAACCAGAACAGCCCCGCTGGTGCACTGACTGAGGGGAGCCACGTGTTTAGTTCCCTGCACTCCCGTGTGACCTCACCCACTGACTTCCCCAGAAGGGGCTCTTGTAACCCCTTCAGGAAGCTGAAGCCAGACAGTGACTGAGAGGTTCTGTCCAGCTCCTCCTCTCCTGGGCAGCTTCACCCAGGAGTAACTTCAGTAACCAGTGGGGTGTGTTCTCGCCACTCAGGTTTTCAAAACAAAACCATATATTGTTTAGGGATACTTACACAGGAAGCAAAACTTTCAAGGAAAGCAAAAAAAAAAAGAGAGAGAGAGAGAGTAACAAAGAGCGAGAGCCGAACCGGTTTGGCTCAGTGGATAGAGCGTCGGCCTGCGGACTCAAGGGTCCCAGGTTCGATTCCGGTCAAGGGCATGTACCTTGGTTGCGGGCACATCCCCAGTGGGGGTGTGCAGGAGGCAGCTGATCGATCTCTCTCATCGATGTTTCTAACTCTCTGTCCCTCTTCCTTCTTCTCTGTAAAAAAATCAATAAAATATAAAAAAAAAAAAGAGAGAGAGAGAGAACATCAAGGTCAGGATAATGGTTTCCTCTGGGGCAGGGAAAGAGGTATGTGAAGGGAAACAGGAGGGTTCTAAAATACTTTAATGTTCTAGTTCTTAGCATGGTTGGCAGGTAAATGGGAATTTTATTATTCTTCCTTAAACTGTACAAGTTTTAGAAACTGTTCCATATGTTCAGTGCATTTAAAATTTTAACAGAAACAGTTTTCAAACCAAATAATATGTACAACTGACTGAACACATAGAACCAAAGATAATCACAATAAACACATCAGAATACCTGCCTATCGAGGGAGAGGGTTGGAAATGGGAGTGGAGAACGAGAAAATGGGATGCACGAATTTATATATATAAAAGCCCAGCGACCATTATGGCAGAATGATTGGAACAACCATAACAACGGGTCACTATGACACTCACTGACCACCAGGGGGCAGAGGCTCAACACAGAAGCTGCCTCTGGTGGTCAGTGCGTTCCCACAGCAGGAGCACTGCTCAGCTAGAAGTGGGGCTCACAGCTGGTGAATGCAATGGCAGTGGTGGGAGCTTCTCCCGCCTCCGCCTCCGCAGCAGTGCTAAGGAGCGGCGAGCCAAGTGGTAAGAAGTGAGCAGGTGGGCGGTAAGGGGCAAGCAGGTGGGTAGTTAGGAGCAAGGGGTCATGGTTTGTGAGAGTGATGTCCAGCTGCCAGTTTAGGCCCAATCAGACATCCCCCGAGGGGCCCCAGATTGCAAGAGGGCACAGGCTGGGCTGAGGGAACAACCCTCCCCCCCATGCACGGATTTTGTGCATTGGGCCTCTAGTAAATAAATAACATATACATTCTACTTATCAAAGATAATCATGTGACCAAGGAGTACAGTTTCCTCTACCTTCTGCACCAGAATATCGAATGTGATAAAGAAGATGAACCTTATTAAATCTGATTGGTCCAAAATCAATCTGTATAAAACCAAATCACAGGAATACTGCAAAGAGTATTATAATCAAGTAAATGGTTGCTACAGAGGGTTTTCCCAGGTGGAGGATTTTGAAGGCCCCTCTGAGTGGTCATTTCTCCAAAGTTTCATCTGTGTTCTGCTGTCCAGCATTCCTGAAGGATTTCAAATGCAGCCCTTGGCTTATCAGCCCATTTCACAATAAAACTTGAAAACCAATAGAGAGGTTCCCAGAGAGGAAGGGGGGTCAAATATATGGTGACAGAAAAAGACTAAACTTTGGGTGATGAGCACACAGTGCAATATACAGATGATGTATTATAATATTGTACACTTGAAACTAATATAGTCTTATTAACCATTGTCACCCCAATAAATTTAATTTTTTAAAAAAGAGAAAGCAGGAGACTAAACTGGTATCCCTACAAGAGGAAAAGACCAAACCCTCATACCTCAAAAAGTACAGTCCTATGTTGGACTGTGTCTTGGAAATTGCCTCTATGGTTTAAAAAGATCATATATGCATATCTCATGGACATGGACAATAGTTTGGGGAAGGCCAAGGGAGGGAGGGTGGAAGTGGTCAAAGGGGGGAAAACGGGGAAACACCTCTAATGTCAACATTAAAAAAAGTTTTTAAAAAAGATTCACTTGTTCTTTTAAAAAAATTTAGTTTGTCTATAGTTATTCTACCTTCTCATTCTGTGTGTTGGGTTTTAAATTGTCAGCGGTCTGTCTCCCTTATTAGTCTTTTCGAAGACCAGCTTTGATTTGATCAGTTTTCACTGTTGCTTGTCTTCTCTATAATGTTGGTGGTATAATTTGGATTAAAGGACTAGAGTATCATCTGTGTATATCCCGAGGAAAAGAATAGCCATCTAAAAACTTAAATTATTCAACTGGATTTACATGATTTTAAGAATGAAATAGAAATTCTGGCTAATGGGGAAAAAAACAAATTATCCTTATCCTTTGACCACCACCTACTTGAGAAAAAAAAAGCATTTCTCTTTAAAAGCCACAATCAAGATTTTGAAGAGATCATTAATGAAAAGTCCTGATCAGGAATTGTATGTAGCCATTTTCAGCATAAAATCTTAAGCGAAAATGTACATTCACAGAAGATGCTCATGTGTGTCATTAAAATGTGAAAATAGTTTATTTAGTTATACAAATTAAAGGTTTGCTATCTTTCCGTCACCCTTGCAGTACCCACATACCTCCTCCAAATCAGAGCCAGAGCCACTGCCAGGCTCTACTTATCTCCTCTGAGCTTATAGGTAGTTTTGCTCCAGCTCTGGGAGCCCAAGAACCAGGACTGAGAACATCTATATATATAAAAGCCTAAGTGACCGTCCTACCATCTGACCCGTACCTATGATGTGCAATGACCACCAGGGGGCAGACGCTCAATGCAGGAGCTGCTGAGCTGCAGTGATTTAGCAGCTGTAGTTCTCGGATGACGCACCCGGAACCAGAGAGGAGGGAGCCTGATTCTGGGATGCGTCACCCGAGAACCGCCCTCTTGCAATCCAGGACCCCTCGGGGGATGTCGGAGAGCCAGTTTTGGCTCAATCACCACACTGAGGGACCCCACCGGGCCTGAAGTCCTATATAATGAAAGCCTCATATGCTAAGTGTCCAGTCGACCAGTTGGCCGTTCAACCAATCAAAGCATAATGTGCTAATGATATGCTAAGGCCACTCAACTGCTCACTATGACATGCACTGACCACCAGGAGGCAGATAGTCAACTCGTTGACCAGTTGCTATGATGTGCACTGACTACCAGGGGCAGATGCTCTGACCGGTAGGTTAGCTTGCTGCTGGGGTCTGGCCCATCTGAACTGAGCAAGATGGGCTGGACACGCCCTGGAGCCCTCCCGTGGTCTCTTCCCGGCTGGCCAACCTCCCACATCTCTTTCCCCTTCCCCCCATTATGCTCCAGTGGGGTCCCTCAGCCTGGCCTGTGCCCTCTCACAATCCAGGACCCCTCAGGGGATGTCGGAGAGCCAGTTTCAGCCCGATCCCACAGGCCAGGCCAAGGGACCCCACTGGTGCACGAATTCGTGCACCGGGCTTCTAGTGTAATAATAATGGCAGCTAATGTTTATTGAGAGCTTAATTTATGCCAGACACTATGTAATCTCATTTAATTATCATAATAACCATCTGTGGTAAGTACTGTTATTCTATTATCCTTCAATATAAAGATGCAGGAACTGAGACTATAAGAGATTAAGTAATTTGCCAAAAACCACAGAGCAGGCAATTGATGGAAGCAGGATTTACACCCAGGCAGTTCTGCAGCCCCTGGGTAGGTAGCTCCTCCCCCCCTGAGTACCCTCAATGTGCCCACTCCTTCTGGGCCCCTTTCTGCTCCCCTTGGAATCAGCTTTTCATCTGCAGTGGTAAGTTGTGTGGAGGCTACCAGGGCTGTGCCAGGCCAAACTACAGGTTGACCAGGTGACCACAGCAGTCACACAGCAGGACAGCTCAGATGGTGATGCTGACTACAGTTGGGGAAAAAAGAGAGCCTGACCCTAAGCCTAGTCGAGAGGAAAGGTCTGGCCTTCTACCTACCCTCCTGTCTGGAGCTGATTACGGGACAACACAGCAGATGCCATCGTCCAGGGGTCAGGGAGGTCCTTAGAAGAGAATTAGGCCCCCAAACCAGGTAAAGGGCAGGAAAGGGCTCAATCCCAACAGTGCCCCTTGGCAGTAGTTGAGGGGATAGAATAGCCTGAGAGGAGACTGGCCCTGAGGGCATCTTGAATCCCTCTATAGCCAGCCTCAACTCCCAACCCTCTGGACTAGTCAGTTCCTTCTGGTTAGACCAAGGCAGACTCTTGGCACTACCTCCAAGCCCCATCTAGCTCTCTCCCACATTTTGCCATTATTACCTCTTTAGACCACCCTTAATTCCTCCAAGTCCCTCCACTCTCCTGCAAAGTTCAAATCCAATCTCACTTCCTCCAGAAAAAAACTTCTAGGGTCCAATTTAGGTTTCTTCATATGATGACTTGACTAGTTGGTTGATTCCGTTTTTTCCCATTTGCCATTCTCAGGGAATCAAGCTAATTTTAAAAGATTTGTATGTGTTCTGGCAAAACATTTTGTTTGCATGTGTTTGTAATATATCTAAGGGTGTTATCTTGTATATTTTCTCTTTCCTACTTGAGTGACACAGCAATATGTGCTTTTAATTTTTAAAATTTAAAAAACCTTTTGTTTTGTAATGATATCAGACTTATAAAAAGTTACAAAACTATGCCCTACCTGGTTTGGCTCAGTGGATAGAGCATCAGCCTGTAGACTGAAGGGCCCCAGGTTCGATTCCAGTTAGGGGCACATGCCCGGGTTGCAGGCTCAATCCCCAGTAGGGGGCGTGCAGGAGGCAGCCGATCAATGATTCTCTCTCATCTTTGATGTTTCTATCCCTCTCCCTTCCTCCCTGAAATCAATTTTTTTAAAAAAAGTTACAAAACTAATACAAAGAATTCTCATATACCCTTCACCCAGCTTCCCCAAATGTTACCGTTGTACATAATCATAGTACAATTATCAAAACTAAGAAATTAACATTGATACAATACTATTAATTAATCTATTCAAATTTCACCTTCAAATTTATTCAGATTTCACCAGATTTTCCCCTAATGTCCTTTTTCTGTTCTAGAATCCCATGTTACAATTAGTTGTCATGCCTCCTTAGTATCTTCTCATCTGTTACAGTTCCTCAGTCCTTCCGTCTTTCATGACCTTGATACTTTTGAAG